TTTTTTTTTTTCGGGAACAAGACATCACTTGCATATAAACATCCACTCCAGGCAGACCTTGTCATTTGAATTCACAATTCCATTTGAAACATTTCTTCAGGTTTGTCAAAGATTCACTCTACAATTATCATATTAAGTTCTAAGATAATGTCGACTATGCATTTTTTGCACACATAACTTTGTTTGATGATTTATTGTGGATTCACACAATCTTCTCTCTCTTCATATATACCTAGATGAACTGTATAGGCCGACAGAAGCAATATAAAAACGAGGTAAAGTAGTTATTACTGGATAGGTTGAAATATGATTCTCAAGATTGAACAATCTTTACACATTTTACGAAAACTCAAACACAAATTCCAGAATAAAAGAAAAACAAGAACTCAACAGCAGGTCTGAGAGGGATGACATGGAAGCAAGTACAGTTATGAAATTTATAAATCTTATTCAAAACCCTGGAATTTACAACTGCCACGGCCCACGGAAGGTCCTGTATGTGAAATTTTTTTACCAAATCGTAACAGATTAAAATCTTATCCAAACAGAAATCAGCTATTTCTTGTTCTGTAAACAAATTTTCTACATAAACTCAAAGAATACAAAACTTGTAATAAGTAAGCCTAATTGCTGATTCCAACTTCATTCAAGAAAAACATAGAGCAAATGGGAACTACAGAAGAAAGAGCAGACGAACTCCAAAAACAAAAACAATGGAAACAACCAAAAATCTCAACAAACACATTATCAACAACAGAAAAAATAAGCAGATATGCATTGTACTATGGCACTTGATCATTGAGCAACACATTATCAACAACAGAAAAAATAAGCAGCAGGTCCAATTGAAAAAATAAGCAGCAGGTCCAATAAGCAGCAGGTCCAATTATCAACAACACATTATCAACACCGCACGCAAATCGGCCAGCATCCGACTTTCGCTGTAATATCATCTTAGGCCTTATCAAACAAATGTTGAACAAAGGCCAAATTCTAAACAAAAACTCCAAATTCTAAACAAAAACTCCAAGGAATTATGTACATTTTCTTCTTTTTACTCACCACAAATTCGAAACAACATTTTCTAGACACTGTTATTCACAAAATCGTCAACGAAACATGAATTTGATTGACGAATTACTGTTGCAGGTTATGAGATTCATACCATTTAGAAAATTATTGTCGTTGGCCATGTCCTCAAAGGATGCAGATGGGGCGTAGCTGCCAGAGTACGGCTCCGCCAGGGGATCATCATTGTCTCCGGCAAGGCCTGCCATCGGAGGACATGGTGGTAGTCGACCCTGCACCTTACTTCGCATCTCAACTCCACCTGTCTGGCCGACGCCGCCGTTCAATTGGGAGTTGGGGCCGCCGGCGGCCATGACCCGGTGCATCTCCTGGTCGCCGCGCCGCTGTTGCCTTGGTCGGATGGGATCGATTGGTGGCTGCATCTGCAACTCTTTCGCGCCGCCGCCGATGCTTGATTTCCCCTCTTGGCCTTCCTCGAAATGGCGCGCGAGGCTTGATAAATATCGCGGGAAAGGAAGCAGGAGGCGATTGGGGAAGGAATTGGCACCGCGCAAATATCCGCGGCAAGGAGCTCGAGATTGGGAAGGGCGAAAAAATGGGGAAGATTTAAGGGATCTTTTGGAGGACAATTTCACTGTATTTTAACCCTAATAGCGAATTAGGGATAGTTTAAGGGATGTGTTGGAGTTGCTCTTAGAGATGCTCTAAAGGACTTTACGTGTATGTTTGGAAGCACTTTTATAATGGACTTTTGACTATAAATGTCTATTTCCTATATAAAAAGATGTTTGGTGCAAATAACAAAATGGACTTTTAGAAAAATATCTCTCACAAAAAAGTCAATTTCAAAAAAGTTTATATTGGACATTTCTTGAGAAGTTTCTTTTCAAAAAGTACATCTTAAAATGGACTTCTCAATAAGTGTTTCCAAACAAACCGACATGAAAATGATAACAATAGACATGATATCAAATCCAATAAGGCAACCAAAGTTAACCTAATCAAATCGATCCGCACTACCCGTGTATCAATATCGGGTTGCATATGGTCAGTCACCAATTGAAAAAATGTACCTTGCCAATGTATGAATTGATAAATTCTCACAATCTCCTTTTAACCTCACTCGTGCCCAAAACCCTATCTTTCTCTCTCTAAATCTCGCGCCCACTCAGATATGGAAGACGACGACGAGTTCGGAGATCTTTATACAGACGTCCTTCGGCCTCTGACGGCGTCGCATCCGCCTCACCCCGTCTCAACCCTACAGACCCGCCCGATCGGTCAGGATATCGACAGCGATGATGAGGAAATTCTCCATGGCGCTGCCGATTTGAAGATTTCGGTGTCCGGTTCCCGTCTTGATCCTGTTTTGAAATCGAATACCTCTGTTCAAGAAAAAAGCCTACCCAAACCGGAGGCCCGGCCTGAACTTGGAGGTTTCAATTTGAAGTTTGATTCCACTTCGAAGGCTGCCGAGGTTGCAGGCGGTGATGGATTGGGGTTGGAAGCGGGAAAGGAGCCTTCTGGGGGATTTAATTTCACCGAGGATGAAGATGATCTCGACATCGTGGTGGAGGAGAGAGAGAACAAAGATGATGACTTGGTTGAGAAAGACGTCAACTTTGTGGACAAACAGGAGAAGATGCACAGCTCCACGGAACAAAGAGAAAATGCAGGAACCTATGCGGCCCGAGGCCCGGGTGGGGAAACTGCCCCCGACCAGATGATTCCGGGGTTATTGGCAAATTTCGATAGCCACGTGGGCCCCAACTTCGGGGATGATTGGGAAAGTGATGAGAGTGATGATGATCTGCAGATAGTATTGAATGACAGTCACCATGGGCCAATGGGGATGGAGAGGATGCCAGGAATGAATGATGAAGATGATGATGAGGATGGCGACCAGTTGATAATAGTTGCGGATAATGGTGACATGGTTCCCCACAACCAGCCGATGCTTGAGGAGAGAGAATTGGGGGTCGAGGAAGGCAGGCCCACAGCCGATGGGGAGAGAAAGGAGTCAGGTGATGCTGCTAAGGCAGGTGGCTCTCAGCCGAAGATTGGGTACAGCAATCACTTGTACCATCACCACCCTTCCCATTCACAGTTCAAGGTCAGCAATCTTCTCCGATGAGAAAAAATGGTTGTGAGTTGGATTCTAAGGTGCAAATTGTAACTGTTTATATAGTGAAAAATTTTGGGTTGTTAGTGACACTAAAGGTGATACAGATACGTTGTAGTTGAGTTCCTATTGTGGCATGAGATATGATATACTGTATGAAGTTCTCTTGTGTTTATTAATGAAGTTAATTATGTTATTTTGGACTTCTTTTTTGTTTGAAGTAGTTGATGTTTATTCTTACATATGGATTTATTCAACAAACATCACTACTGCTGCCGTCCCAGCAGGGTCCGAGTGGCAGGATATGACGCCTAAAGACATCCTTGCTTAACAAATTATGCCAACATTCTTGGTGGACAATTCTTTTACCATGCATATGACACTAATTACCAAGATATCAAAATGAAATGTTGAAGCCTTGGTACATGGACCAGGTGCTCTGAATTTTAATATTAACTCTCAATTGATTCAGATTAAAAAATAAAAAAAAAATTACTGTAAACAGAAGATTTCTTGTACATATTGGAAGTTTGAGGGAAACAATTAATGTGAATTGAGCAGGTAAATCCTGGAATCAGTAGCTCCTTACCAAACAATTTTTGGAGCAATTGAAAAGTTTTTAATACAGTAGTTGTAAAATTACGACCTAATAAGTTAGCTAATATAAAGCCACATGATAGCTCTATACTGCATTATCATAGTTGGAATATTTTGTCCTTATGGCTCTGCTGGAACTTCAGCCCATGAATTTTATTGAAGGCTAATGGCATATCACCTGACCTCAAGAGCAAGGTCAAGCTTTGCAACCATAAGTACAAAATTATATGTCGATCCTTTTTCAATGTTTGAAAGTTGTATTATAAAGGGCCGAGTTCATGAATTGCTTGCATTGGAATATCATGGAACATAATACGTAAAGATACAATAAAGATGATATTTAAAAAAGGAAAAAAAAAAACTTCATTTGATTCTTATCATGGAAATTGATAGTTTATAAGGAATCTTTATTTTGTAATTCAACTTCAGCTTGTTAGTTATGTAATGGAAACTTGTTTTGGCGAGTGATGAAGCTGATGAATGGGAAAATCTTTTCAATCTGTATCTAATGTGTGATTTATTTTCTAATCAGTTGTACACAGTTCATTTAAACTGATACATGACTTTCATTTGTTGAGTTTGTTATGTGCTAGCTTGCAGAAACAGTATGAATGCTTTTGTATTTAGTTATATGGTTGACTTTTTTTTCTTCTTGATCATTGACCTTGATTTTCCCCTCTTTTCTTTTGTTTTTTTTTTTCCCTTTTCTTTTTGTTATTTCGGGACCACATAGTATGTGAGACCTGGTGCAGAACCATTGCCAGGAGGAACTCAAGGCCAAGTTTGCCCACCTGTTACTGTGGGCCCCGGAGCTGGACGTGGTAGAGGTGAATGGAGACCAAGAGGCCCTGTCCCCATGCAAAAGGGGGTTCATCCTGGTTATGGGATGCCTGGTTGGGGACATAGTACAGCAGGACGTGGTTATGGAAGTGGATTGGATTTCACTCTTCCATCACACAAGTAAGCTCTTTAATTGTTATTGTTATCTTGAACATTATTAAATGAATTTGGCTAATTAAGATTCGGTGGATGGTCTTACAATCTTGATAAAAGTTTATAGCTTTGCACGAAGATTGTGTTTTATTAAGCTGCAATAATTTCTTTGCTATTGTTAGGACTTAGGATTTTTATGGAACAGCCTTTTTCTGATACATTGATTACATTGGGCTTGATATCGGTTTCAAGAGATACTTCTCTTAATTTTCATTTTAATGTGTTATATTCCTAGATTAATAGGACGATTCTATACGACTCCTCTTTGCTAGTGGAACTTACTTCACACATCCCCTGTTAGAGTCGCAAAATGCCTTTCTTTGTTCATATGTTTAATGATCACATGCTTGTGTACATGTTTAGAGTTCCTTTTTTTGTTTTTCTCTTTTTATTGGTATCCTTGTTTAGTGGCTTCCTCGTATGAAGACTTATAAATACTCTTCTTTTGTTGTTCTGGGAATAGATGATATAGCATGCTTGAATTGTGGAAAATTGTGTAGCTGCTAAACGGATTTTTGTAGCCTGTGTTACTTTATGCAAGCACGTGCGTGCACACACACACACACACACACATCCTATTACTTTTCAGATGTATTGTCACAAATAACCTTTAACCTATAATCATTACGACATGTTTCTTGGATATTCCGAAGACCTGCGGCTAGTGAAATCTCTATCGGGAATTATTTAGATGGAAAATTAATTTAGATATAATCATAATCCTTTTACTTGTCTAGTTCTATCAGCTCCAAGTGTTAAATAGCTGCTATTTTTTTCACCTTTATATTTTTCTTAGAGAAGTGTTATTTAATATTCTAAACTTCAATGTAGTTCAATGTTATTATATTATTCTAAACTTCAAACATATTTGATTTCTATTATTATTTACAGATTTGTCTTGTTCTTCTGATAATTTGTTATTATGTTATGACTATGTTTATGTTCTTAGGACGATTTTTGAAGTTGATATTGATGGGTTCGAAGAAAAACCATGGAGGCTTCCAGGAATTGACATGTCAGACTTTTTCAACTTTGGCTTGAATGAAGAGGGTTGGAAAGATTACTGCAAACAACTGGTACGTCTAAGTCCCGCATTTAAGATATCTCTCAGTTTAGTTATCTGCAGAGTCAAAGTGAACGGGTAATATTTCTTTTATGCTCATCCTATGAAGCTAAGGGATTTTGGAATTTCTAGGAACAACTTCGTCTTGAGACAACCATGCAAAGCAAGATCCGTGTCTATGAAAGCGGGAGAATGGAACAGGTAATGTCTGTTGTTTCAACATTCGTATAGAAAATTTAGTTGTCATATGTCCATGAGTGGTGTCCACACTTATGTCCCCTTCTTTTGTTCTCGTTATTGCATTTCCATTTTACACTCGTGATTATTGTACAATTTTTCACTTCGCCTTGTCTCATTCACATTCGTCTGTCAAATTCAGGATTATGATCCAGATCTTCCCCCAGAGCTTGCAGCAGCAGCTGGTAACCAAGAAATTCCATCTGAGAAGGGGAATGCTGGGACAGGAGAAGATGGTCCATCTGACTTAGCAAGATCAAGTGCCCATGCTCTGCCACCAGTTGTATGTAATTGTTTCATCTGAAAGATCACTGTTGTAGATAATAAGTTTGTTAATAAGAATATCGAGCCAATGAGAAATGATCAGAAAATCATTTTTGTCAATGGAGGAAATAGGGATGTGAACAATGAGACTGTGACTAGCTTTTTTTGGTGTTCTTGGATGCCTCAGTAAAACTGAAGCATGATTTTCTGGCTTGTTTATCACTGATATATACTGAAAAAGGCATTCCCAGGCTTGGGCATTCACTTATCTGGGAGGATTTGATGTTATGTAGAAGTAGAACGAATATCAAGCATCATTTAGTATGCCTAAACTAAATAAATTTGCTTGGGAAACATAAAGATAATTGTTATTAGGTTACTGGAATCTGTGGCGCTGAAGTTTTTGCATGTAATTTATCATACCCCAGTTACGGTTGCTTCCTGTTTATTTTCTTAGTTAAGAAGAACTATATGGATTCTTCTTTTCCATTTTTAGTTTATGCAATCCGACTGGAATCAAGGATTGTTTCCTGACTCTGCCTCTGCATTTGCTGTTACTATACTCCGCATTCTTTATGTATAACAGAATGCAGGGTTGGACTGCAGAATATCTGAGGTGTTTTAATGGTAAAATTGGTAGCACAAAAGAGGTTAACTTACCTGGGGTTAACAGTTAAATTATACACAGCTTTTGAATATAATAGGGTATTTAGTGGGGTCCTCATATAACCAGCTTTCTCTAAATTTGACTGCAGCCTGTTGGCCGGCCAATACCTGTAGAAACTGGCTCCGGCGATCGTCTCCCATCAATTGACACAAGGCGTCCTAGAATGCATGATTCGGATGCCATTATTGAGGTAGTCATTTGCAATGTTTCTGTTTGAGCACGAACCTTCATGTTCTCTCTTATCCATTTGTGATACTTCAGTGCATTTTCTGAAGTAGTGTTGCCTTTGATAAACAGGTAGTCTGTCAGAGTTCCAATGATGATGGTGACTTGGCAGAACAACAAGACAATGATGTGGTTGGAGGAAATGATGATATTGATGTGCTTCATGGGGATGGTGCAGGGCATATTGATCGTTCTTCACAGGCATATAAAGATGGTCAGAAGAGAGAGATTGTTGCAAGAAGGGAACAACTTGTAAGTCGTGACGAGATTGGAAAAGAGGGTGATCCTCATGAGGAGAGGTATTAGGATTTCTTTTTCAATTAATTTCACATGGAAATTTCATTTTCTCACCTCTTCGAATTTACCTTTGAATATCTTGAAAAAAAAAGGCTCCAACTGGACATGATTGAAGGAATTATTGAGGATTCCATGGTTTTAGGTATTAAGTGACAGTGTGTTAGGTCTTGCCATGTCAGGAAGGAGTTGGTATTATGTGTTTCTGTTTTTTAATTTCCCAACTGGGAGGTAGTGAATAGAAATTCAAAGACTTGGGGTCTGAATACTGATTGATCCTCAATTAAGAATGAGCTACAACACTTGAGCTACAATGCTACAACATTGATTCTGAAGCTCCGGGTTCCATCTGCTGATTTCTCCATCTGCGTAAATTTTGTATGATCACAGATACACAAGTGGAAAAGGGCAGGTGAGACAATCGTCTGAGACTAACCCCAGTGATGATGATGGAGAAAAACAGGTTACCGGTAATCAGAATGAGTCATTTGATAGTGAAACTGTCAGGCAAAACCCGTCTTTCTCATCTGACGATGGGGAGCCTGCCGTAGACATTGAGGATGCAAATGGAGATATAGCGATGGACGATGAGAGAAGCCTCGACATAGAGAGAGAAAATGATGAGAGAGAAAACTCCAAGTGCGAGGGTCGGGTTAGATCCAGGCACGGTGAGGACAATCGAAAGATCCACGAGAGCGAAGTCCTTGAGGACCAGCACTGCCGACCCCGCCCGGGCAGCAGTTTTAAGAGGCGAGCTGAAGAGGATGAGGAAAGAGAGGATTCCCGGCGGCACGCAAGGGGTGATAGCGTGGACCACTGGCGGAGAAGGGGCATGGTCGATGATGGGCGGAAGAGGGACAGCGAGAGAGATCACAGCAGTTGGAGGGGGACAGTTAACGACCGAGATGTG